TTATTAATCTTAATGTGTTTTCGAAGGCATCCCAAATGAAACCCCCAGCTATAATGTCTTTCTCATGTGAACATGGATGAGAAGTCTTCATTTAAGACCTCATCCACGTTCACTGGCTTCATGCACAGGTTGCCCCTTTCAGTCTCTTATAGGTTCCACCCTTGCCTGGTGATTCTTTTATTCTTAATATACTGATTAAAAAGCCTCGGAGTTTTCCTGATCCTGTCTGTGAAAGATATTTTGTGGCCCCTCTATGCCCTCCTAATTTACTTTTTAAGCAACCTGCTACACTGCCTATACTTCAAAAGGCCTTCCTGTTTTTAATGCACTGTATCTGATGTATGCTTCCTTTTTCGTTATCAAACTTGTGACATCCAGGGTTCCCTGGACATGCTGTTCTTGACCTTTACTCTTAGAGAAACGCGCTGGTCCTGAATTCTTACTGTCCTACTTTTTTAATAATTCCACTTTACAAATATGGGCTTACCTGTAAGTAGCAGCTGCCAGCCTATATTTGCTATATATTGAAATCAGTCATCCCCCAATTTAGACACTTGATTGATATATTATCCATATCCCTTTCCATAATGACTGATACTTAAGAGTTATAGTCACTATCCCTGAAATGTTCGTCCACTGAAACTTTGACCACTTGACTGGCTTAATTTCCCTGGATGAGGTCTAGCACTGCCCCATCTCTAATAGGACTATCTACATACTGGCACAAAAAACTCTCCTGGGTGCACTTTACAAAGTCCACCCCATCTGACCCTTTCACACGAGTTACCAATTAATATTCTGAAAGTTGAAGTACCTCATTACTATTTCTGTTTCTCTCACACTTTTTGTGTGATTTGCTTACATGTCTGCTCCTCTATCTCTTTCTGACTGTTAGGAGACCTGTAGGAAAACCCCAGCAGGGTAATTGCCCCTTTTTTCTTTCTAAGCTCTAACCAGATGGCATCATTTCATACGCATCTCCAAGGTGTCCCCATTACTGCAGTGATAGTTTCCTTTATCAACAATACAACACCGTCACCTTACATCCCCCACTATTGTACCTGAAACTTCTACACCTTGGAATGTTGAGCTGCTGTTCTGTTCTACCTCCAACTATGTCTCAGTGATTGCAACAGTATGATATTCCTACATGCTGATCAATGCTGTATGTTCATCTATCTTACCAGTCAAGCAGCTTAGATTAAAATAGATACAGTTTAGCTTTCCAGATCTCCCATGCGCCTTATCCTGCCCATGTCTTCTCCAGCTTTCTCAGCATTCCTTCCACATCTGTTTGGGTTTTGCTCCTGGCGTTCCATCTGTTCTGTGCCCTATCCTCTGGCCAATCCGTGTAAAACCGCCCCAAATGCATGACTCAACCTTCCAGCAAGGATACTGCACTCATTCTGGTTCAGGTGCAACTTGTACAGGTCCCAGCTACCCTAGAAACTGTCCCACTGATCCAAAAATCTAGAGCCCTCCCTCCTGTATCTTCCCTTTTGCCACGTGGCCACCTGACTGTTTGTTTGTTTTTCCTATTCCTACATCAGAAGCATGTGGCACTGGAAGTATTCTGGACATGCCCACCTTAGTAGTCTTCCTCTTTAATCTATGACTTTGCTCCCTAAATTTCCGCTGCAAAACCTCATTTCTCTTTTTTTACCTATATTGTCAGCACCGACATGTACCACAACAGCTGGCTGTACACCCTCCCTCTTCAGAATGCCCTGCAGGCACTCTGAGACATATCCAACCCCAGCACCAGGGAGGTAACATACCATTCAAGATTCTCATTTGCTGCCTCAGAACCTCCTGTCAGCTCCCTTCACAATTGAGTCTCCTATCACAAAAGTTCTCTCCCTTGTCCTTTTCCTGCAGCAAAGCTAACTGTGGTGCCACAAACTTTCTTGCTGCTGCTTCCCTCTCCAACAGTATCCAAAACACACGATCTATTTGAGAGAGAACTGGCCATAGGGACTCCTGCACTGCCTGTCCATGCTTACTAGTTTTCCTGCTAGTCACCCAAATATTTTTGCCTGCACAGCCCTTACTTGTGATGTGACCAGCTCATTAAATGTGCATAATGTCCTATACATCATGGCTGCTCCATAATGAGTCCATCCATAACTCCAGCCACTCCATGTGGCTAAACAGAGCTGCAGCTGAAAACACTTCCCGTAGACATCGAGGGAAGAGGGTCTCTGCCTGCTCCTGCCCCACTGAACTTATCTCCACTTATCTCCACTCCATTTTCTCCCCCTTGGTCCAGGAACTCCCTATGTACATCCGTGACACCACCCACGCCCTCCACCTCCTCCAGAACTTCCAATTCCCTGGTCCCCAACGCTTCATCTTTACCATGAACATCCAGTCCCTATATACTTGCATTCCCCATGCAGATGGCCTAAAGGCCCTCCGCTTCTTCCTGTCCCGCAGGCCCGATCAGTTCCCCCTCCACTGACACCCTTATCTGCTTAGCTGAACTCGTCCTCACCCTTAACAACTTCTCCTTCAATTCCTCCCACTTCCTACAGACAAATGGGGTAGCCATAGGTACCCGCATGGGGCCAAGCTATGCCTGCCTCTTTGTAGGTTACTTGGAACAATCCCTCTTCCGCAGCTACACTGGCCCCATCCCCCACCTCTTCCTCCGTTATATAGATCACTGTATTGGTGCCACCTTGTGCTCCCACGAGGAGCTCGAACAGTTCATCCACTTCACTAACACCTTCCACCCCAACCTTAAGTTCACCTGGACCATCTCCGATACCTCTCTCTCTCTCCTTCCTGGACCTCTCTGTTTCCATCTCTGGCAACCACCTGGAAACCGATATCTATTTCAAGCCTACCGACTCCCACAGCTACCTAGAATACACCTCCTGTCACCCACCTTCCTGCAAGAATGCCATTCCCTATTCCTAATTCCTTCGCCTCTGCCGCATCTGCTCCCGAGATGAGGCGTTCCACTCCCGGACATCCCAGATGCCCTCGTTTTTCAAGGACCGCAATTTCTCCTCCACGGTGGTTGAAAACGCCCTTGACTGCATCTCTCGCATTTCCCGCAACTCATCTCTCACACCCCCTCCCCGCAATAACAACAAAAACAGAATCCCCCTCGTCCTCACGTACCACCCCACCAACCTCTGGATTCAATGCATCATCCTCCGCTACTTCCGCCACCTGCAATCCCCCCCCACCACCAAGGAATCTCCCCCCCCCCCCCCACCCTTATCTGCCTTCTGGAGGGACCGCTCCTTTCGTGACCCCCTTGTCCGCTCCACACTCCCCACCAGCCCCACCACCCCCGGCACTTTTCCCTGCAATCGCAGGAAGTGCTATATCTGCCCCTACACCTCCTTACACATCAAACAGATGTTCACCTGCACATCTGCTAATGTGGTATACTATATGTGCTGTTCCCAATGTGGCCTCCTCTACATCGGGGAAACCAAGCGGAGACTTGGAGACTGCTTTGTGGAACACCTACGCTCAGTTCGCGACAAACGACTGCACCTCCCAGTCGCGGACCACTTCAAACCACCACCCCCCCCACCCCCGCAACTCCTTGGCCGACATGTCTATCCTGAGCCTCCTCCAGTGCTACTACGATACCACCTGAAGGTTGCAAGAACGGAACCTCATATTTCGCTTGGGAACCCTGCAGCCCAATGGTTTCAATGTACACTTCACAAGCTTCAAAATCTCCTCTCCCCCTACTGCATCCCAAAACCAGCCCAGCTCGTCCCCGCCCCCTTGACCTGTCCGTCTTTTCTCCCACCTATCCACTCCTCCCACCTCAACCCCCACCCCCACGTCCTACCTACCAGCCTTGTCCCCGCCCCCTTGACCTGTCCATCTTCCCTTGACTGACCAACCCCCATTCTAACTCTCCACCTACACTCACCTTTACTGGCTCCATCCCCACCTCCTTGACCTGTCTGTCTCCTCTCCACCTATCTGCTCCTTTATTCACCTTCCATCCGCCTTCCCCTCTCTCTCTCTTTATTTCTGAATCCCCTTGCCCTCCCCCACTTCTGAAGAAGGGTCCAGACCCGAAACGTCAGCTTTCCTGCTCCTCTGATGCTGCTTGGCCTGCTGTGTTCATCCAGCTCTACACCTTGTTATCTCCTGTAGATGTCGTCACCATAACACTGGAACGGTAGCTGAATTCCCACATATTGCACAGGAACATTCCATGTAGCCAGATTCTTCTGACATTGTGAACCTCATCAACATACGATAAACTCGGAAGCAATTATTTAACCTTAACTACTCACCAAATCAGACTTCTCTCTCTCTGCATCTCTCTGTTCTGAACAAACTACAAAGAAAGACTTGACACTCTCCCTACTCTCCCTAAAGCTGGTTGCTAATCAGATAATCCACTTGTGTCTTGTCACTTTTTTAATTGCGACATCACTTCGTGAGTTCCTCCTCTGGATTCAGGTTTACTCTGCTCTGGTCTGTTCCTGCTGCAGCTCCAAGTGAGCTTGAGTCAGGCCCCACTGTTTGCGCTTTTATCCAGAGGCTCGACGGCCTCTGTTCCCTAAGCTTACTCTGCTTTGCTCATTATCAGAGCTGAGACTCAAATCCACACCTTATGACAACATCACCATTAAATATTTGCTTCAGAGTGGATCAGCTTCAAGCTATTATCTTTGGACCATGTAGTGATTGATTTTTAAAGGGACCATCCTTTACAATACTGTTAGGAGGTCAGTTACTTAGCAAGTGAACAATGTTGGAAGTCAAAATACCAGTCCATTTTAAAATGTCAATATTGTAACTACCCCTGATGAGCAATTCCTGGATTTCATATGTCCAAGTAAGAGGTTTCACTGTACCTATATTATTCATGGAAAATATGTTGTCTGAAAGTTTTTATTTTATTTCTTAGTTTGTAGAAGTAATTGATCGCATCTTGTTTGCCAATAAATTATTTTAATTACTCCAAAAGGTTTTGCTAATCACTTTTCTCTTTCTTGTGCTGAATGCCTCAGGGCAGACTGTCATATTCCATTCAGGTGGAAGGCCGTGAGCACATTGTTCACATGAAGAGAAATGAGTAAGTATGATTTAATTCAAAAATGAGATAACGAGAGTCCAGAGACAGTATTTTCCTGTTAGGTTGAAGGGCAAGGCTGGTAGGGATAGGGAATGCTTGAGGACTACAGAAATTGAGCTTTTGGTCAAGAATAAGAAGGAAGCATATGTCATGTATAGACAGCAGAGATACAGTGAATCCCTAGAAGAGTATAAAGGCAGTGGAAATATAGGTAAGAGGGAAATCCGAAGGGCAAAAAGGGGACATGAGATAGCTTTGGCAAATACAGTTTAAAAATAATCCAAAGATATTCTATTAGTACATAAAGGGAAAAACAGGAACTAAGGAGAGAATAGGGCCCCTTAAACATCAGCAAGGCCACCTATGTGTGGAACCATAGGGGATGGGGGAGATACTAACCAAGTATTTTACATCACTGTTTACTGTGAAAAGGATTTGGAAGATAGAGAATGTGGGGAAATACATTGCAATATCTTGAAAAATGCCCATGTTACAGAGGAGGTGCTGGATCTCTTAAAACGCATAAAGGTGGATCTATCCCTGGGACCTCATCAGGTATACCCAAGAGCTTTGTGGAAAACTAGGGAAGAGATTGCTGGGCCCCTTGCTGAGATACTTGTACCATAGATAACCGCAGGTGAGGTGTCAGAAGACTTGGAGGTTGGCTAACGTGGTGCCACTATTTAAGAAAGGTGGTAGGGAAAAGCCAGGGAACTGTAGACCAATGAACTTGACACAGTGCTGGGGACAGGGTTTACATGTTATTTGGAAAGGCTAGGACTGATTAGGGATAGTCAACATGGCTTTGTGTGAGGGAAATTGTGTCTCACTAACTCGATTGAGTTTTTTGAAGAAGTAACAAAGAGGATTGATGAAGGCAGAGCAGTGGACATGATCTATATGGACTTCAATAAGGTTTTTGACAAGGTTCCTCATGGTAGACTGGTTAACGAGTTTAGATCACATGGAATGCAGGGAGAACTAGCCATTTGGATCCAGAACTCGCTCAAAGGTTGGAGACAGCGGTGGTGGAAGGTTGGTTTTCAGACTGGAGGCCTGTGACCAGTCGTGTGCCGCAAGGATCGGTGCTGGATCCACTGCTTTCTGTCATTTACATAAATGATTTGGAAGTGAACGTTGGAGGTATGATTAGTAAGTTTGTGGATGAGAACAAAATTGGAGATGTAGTGAACAGCGAAAAAGGTTACCTCAGTACAATGGAACCTTGATCACATGGGCCAATGGGCTGAGGAGTGGCAGATGGAGCTTGGTGAGGTGCTGGATTTTGGAAAAGCAAGTCAGGGCAGGACTTGTTTAGTTAATGGTAAGGTCCTGGAGAATGTTGCTGAACAAAGAGACCTTGCAGTGTAGGTTCATAGTTCCTTGAAAGTGGAGTTGCAGATAGATAGGACAGTGAAGAAGGCGTTTGGCAGTTATTGGTCAGTGCTTTCAGTATAGGAGTTGGAAGGTCATGTTGCGGCTGTACAGGACATTGGTTCGGCCACTTTTGGAATATCTCCCTGCTACAGGAAGGATGTTGTTAAATTTGAAAGGATGCAGAAAAGATTTACAAGGATATCGCTTGGGGTTGGAGCGATAGGGAGAGGCTGGGGGTATTTTTCCTGCAGTGCCATGCAAGGTAACCTTGAAGTGGTTTACAAAATCACGAGGGACACAGGTTTTTACTTGGGGTGGACGAGTCCAAAACTAGAGGGCATAGATTTAAGTTGAGAAGGGAAAGGCAACTTTTTTACGCAGAGGGTGGTGTGTGTATAGAATGAACTACCAGAGGAAGTGGTGGAGGCTAGTACAATTACAACATTTAAAACGCGTCTGGATGGGTACATGAATAGGAAAGGTTTCGATGGTATGGGTCAAATCCTGGCAAATGGGACAAAATTAATTTGGAATATTTGGTTAGCATCAATGAATTGGACCAAAGGGTCTTTTTCTGTGCTGTACATCTCTATGACTTTATATAATCCTACGATCTCCTGTAATTTACTGATTGAAGAGTCGTGAATGTTGGTGAACAATTAAACAACTCCATTGGAGGAGGAGGCTCCACCAATATCCCATTCTTCAATGGTGGAAGAGCCCAACACATTAGTGCAAAAGATAAGGCTGAAGCATTCGCAGCAATCTTCAGACAGCAATGCTGAGTGGATGAGCCACCTCGGCCTCCTCCAGTGGTCCCCAGCATTTTCGATACCAGTCTTCAGCCAAATTGATTCACTCCACAGTTGGAGACACAGGATAGTGCAACGGCAATGGACCCTGACAACATTCCAGCAGGGGTACTGATGGTTTGTGTTCTAGAACTAGCCACGCCCCTCACCAAGCTTTCCCAGTATCATTACAACACTGGCATCTAACTGACAATGTGGAAAATTGCCCAGGCGTGTCCTGTACACAAAAAAGCAAGACAATTCCAGCCTGGCCAATTACTGCCCCATCCATCTCCACTCGATCATCAGGCACGTAATGTACAATGTCAACAGTAGTGTGTCAAGCAGCCCCTTCTCAGCAATAACCTGCTCACTGATGCCAAGTTTGGGTTCCACCAGGGCCACTTATTTCCTGACCTCATCATAGCTTTCATTCAAACTTAGACAAAGGAGCTGAATTCTAGAGGTGAGGGAGAGTGACAGCCCTTGACATCAAGGCCTGATTTGACTGAGTGTGGCATCAAGGAACCCTAGCAGAACTGGTATCAATGGGTATCAGATGGCAAACTCTCCACTGTTTGGAGTGATACCTGACACATAGACAGATGATTGTAGTTCTTGGAGGTCAGTCGTCTCAGCTCCAGGACATCTCTGTAGGAGTTGCTCAGGCTAGTGTCCTTGACCCAACTATCTTCAATTGCTTCAGCAATGACCTAGCCTCTAACATAAGATGAGAAGTGAGGATGTTCAACAGTGATTGCAAAATGTTGAACAAGTGGCAAGTAACATTTGCGCCGCACAAATGTGAGGCAATGACCGTCTCCGTTAATAAACAATCTAACCCCCACCCTTGGCATTCAGTAGTGTTACCGTCAATGAATCATCCACTGTCAACATTCTTGGGGTTACCATTGACTAGAAGCTCAACTGGAACTGCCACATAAATACAGTGGCAACAAAAGTAGGTCAGAGGCTACGAATATTGCAGCTGGTAACTCCCCTCCTGACTCCCCAAAGCCTGTTCATACAGGGCATACGTCAGGAGTGTGATGGAACACTCCCCACTTGCCTGGATGGGTGCAGCTCCAACAACACTCAAGAAGCTTGACACCATCCAGGACGAAGCAGCTCACTTAATTGGCACCACACCCACAAACATCCACTCCTTCCACCACCGATGCTAAGTAACAGCGGTGTATACCATCTACAAGATGCACTGCAGAATTTCACCACAGATTTTTAGACAGCACTTTCTAAAACCATGACTGGTTCCATCTAGAATGACAAGGGCAGCAGATACATGGGAACACCACCACCTGCAAGTTCTCCTCTAAGTGACTTACCATCCTGACTTGGAAATATATCCCCGTTCCTTCACTGTCGCTGGGTCAAAATCCTGGAATTCCCTCCCGAAGGGCATTTTAGGTTAACCTACAGCATATGAACTGCGGCGGTTCAGGAAGGCAGCTCACGACTGTTATGGACCAGGCCAGACCCTGTAAAAATATGATGAGGTTACCTAGACCCTAACTTGTTCTTATTTTAAAGGTAAATATGAGGTACTGTGTTCCAGAGGTAATTCGATTGGTCAAACTGCTCGATGTTAAGCAAAGCTCAGTTTATTCAAACACTGTAGTTAAAACAAAATAAAAAGAAGAACTTGGAATGACTTAATTCTATGGGAAAACTTAATGGAACAATAAATACACTAACTACTATTAAGTAACTGTTCCAATACAGCAATGTTCCATAAACACACTCTTGGCAAAAGGCAAAATCAGAAAATAGATTGTCTCCACATGCAGTTCTCCAATCGAGGAGGAAAGAACATCAAAAGACAATTCTGAGAGAGAGAACTGCAGCTTTCAGCTGTAGCATAGAGAAATGTGGCAGCTTTTCACAATACCATCAGCTTCTGCTGAAAGCTAAACTGAAGACCCTGGTTCTGTGGGAGTTGACCACATCCCTTCAAGGCTGCTTCTGTTGCCCAAGCCTTTTTAAAATAAAAACCATCAAGGCCTCACACAATGTTTACTGGCTTTCCACCTCGACAGCTCATCACCTCTGCCTTAAAACCTCGTGTTTAAAAAAAGAATAGGATAAAATGACCTCTCAAAGCTACAGCATCGTCACACCGCCACTTTCTGATGGGCAGCTAGGGTTGGACGATAAATGCTGGCCAACCACCAAGCCCCCATGTCCCATGAATAAATTAAAAAAATACTAAGTGTAAGTTAAGTTTGATTAATAAGACAGTACATAGACTGCTTTCAAACAAACCCCCACGTGCTATTTATGTGACATGATATAGTGACTGTTTTGAAAAGTTTCAGAGACAGTGAACGAGTAGACTTGACTATTTCCTTATACTGCCTGAAGTCATCTTTAAATTGCCACCATGCAGTGTGTTGTTGGTTTTCTTTTTGTATTATTCCAAGAAAAGAGAGCAAGTTTTAAGCAGAACAAAAACAAAAAAACTGCAGATGCTGTAAATCAGGAACAAGTTTTAAGCAGTGCATGTGCAGATTTTTGAAAGATCTTAGTACTTTATTCTCACCCACTGTCAAAATCAGCAGTGCTGGGACTCTCTGAACAATCCCAGTGGAGATGTGAATTGAGTAAATTGCATAGGTTTACAGCTTGGACATCTGAACTTGCTGTTTGCATACAAGAAAAACTGTTTTCAAAAGATTACGTCATGCAATAAATGAGCGATAACACACGGTTTCCAGTGTTTTCTAAAAAAAAATCTTGTGTTTGAAATACCATTTAAATAAATCTTCTTGTTTTGTTGTACATTTTTCTAGTAATTAGTATCAACACCAGCAAGTA